GTGGGGGCGCCCTCCCCGCCTCGCGGCTGGTTATTGGGCAGTTTACTCGAAGGGAACTCGTTAAAGACCGTAGCTTCTCCGCTCCACTGTTACCCTGAGCTAGCAGCCGTCGAACAGTTGGCTAGAATAAACTCTTCATCGAAGTCGTTTCTGGGCGCCAGGGCTGGCCTCAGCCGCTTCAGCCGAGTTCGATCCCCGCCCCGGAGGGGCCCCCCAGGGCGCAGCAGACCCCTCCCGACCCGCCCGCTGCTCCCCCCAACAATGTGCTTCGTCAGTCTGCCTTGGGTGAATCTCTCACCACCCCTGCACCTCTGGCCTGCACCCCAGTTCATACATAAATGAATTAAAAAAAAAAAGAAAGAAACGGATTCTTAAAATTCAGTTCTAACTACGAATTTTCTGGAAAGGAATTCACTTTGCGATTCTCTTGGTAGGAAATAGAGTAGATTCGTCTTCGCAGTTTGGTCTCCCAGGAGCTATTTCTTGTGACGACAGCTCTTCCCTGAGTTAATAGGGTGGTGTCAGACAGCATGTGCTTCCGTGAAAGTGCTTCTGACTCGATCGGAAGGAAACGTGGTGGCTTTAAGTCCATAACAGAGGATGGACTTGTGCCAGCGAGCGCCTTCACGGGGAGGTGCCTGCTTTTGTTTAGGACCAAATTGGGAACGGACGAACGGATGAACGGAGGAGTGAGTGGCGAGTGAGCGGCTGATGGCCAGCCTTCAGGCCTTCTCCGCTCTCTGTCCTGCCACCCTGCCGCTTCAGCTTCTGCTTTGGGGCCGACTCGCAGGAGGCCTCGGGTGCGCTACCTGCTTGCGGCGAGCACTTCTGTGAGGCCGGGTTCGCCGTCCGCAGAGAGCTCTCGCTTGGATAAGGCAGTTGGTGAGGTCGGGTCGGGCCCTTCCTCGCGGGCCTCGTGCTCCCGGCCGTGGGGACCCCTGCAGGGCGGGGTTGGTGGGGTGACCGGGGAGGGAAAGGGCTTCCGTTCTTGCGGGCTCCTTCCACTGTGGGCTCTTGCTCGCCTTCCCGAGTCGGAGTCGCGTGGGCGCGAGCGGAGGCAGGGCCCAGGCTCCCTCCGCTGGGCCCCACCCTGTGGCGGGTGCGCTGCTGACGGCAGGGGACAGTCCACAGCCGATGGGCGTCATAGCTCGAGCGGACAGATGCCCCTGGCGCCTCCGAGGCAGATGGGTGGTCTGGAGAGGGAGGGCGCCCGCGCGTTTGGGGCTCTTGCCCCTGGGAGGCCCGGCCGGCAGCCAGGTGGGCGGGTTTCCGGCTGTGGAGGGGTCCGGCCTGGAGGGTCAGCGCTGGGCTGGCTGGACTCCACAGGGGTCTGTTTCCCTCCGGGCGAGCGGGGCGAGCGGGTCTTCACCCCCGGGCCCGTGTCGCAGCCGGGGGCCTCCTCCGGGCTGCGGCGTCTCTGTGAAGGAGCGGGACGTGTCTCTGGGCTGTAGAGTGGGCCAGAGCCCAGTGGTGGCTCCCGGTGGGGCTGGGGGCTTCCGGAAGGCCCTGAGCTGGGGCCGGGCTTGCTTCCGGCTGTGGGCCGCAGTCGCCCTGCCTCGTCTGAGCCTGTCTTGTGTTCGCTCACTGGAGGTGCAGCTGCCTTCAGGCTTCTGACTGATGGCCGCCCGGGGAGGAGCGGCCGGGCCCGCCTTGCCAGGTGGACGCCGCCTGGTCTCCGTGCCTTTCTTCCTTCTGCTGCTGACGAGATCTTTGTTGTGTTTCTCGTAGGTGGTTTCGCGAAGAAATCCGGAGGACGTCCAGGAGGTAACCTGTTGATCCGTACGACAATTTTATTTGCTGCGTCTGGCAAAAACGTAACTAAGCAGATGGCTGACGGAAGGACTTCCCTGCTAGTTGACGTCTGCTTGGGGGTGCGGCTCCCAGAGCAGGCTACGGAATGCCTGTTGGAGGCCGGTGAGGTGTATGCTACAGAGTAGGGGCTGTAGTTAGCGAGCGACAGTGCGTGCTGACGTGGGAATTCTCCCGATAACCAGCGTCCTTGAGATTTACTGTGAGTCAGAGTCCCTACCTACCTGTTTCAAAATCGTGATGCCTGCTGAAAAAAAAAATTTGAGGAGTGTCTGCTACCTAGTGCGATATATTTTAAAGGTAGTAAGTCACGAGCTTTTAGCTACTTGGGCTTTTCTAGTAATAAGTGGACACTTTTGGGTGGGCTTTGGGCGATGTTTCCTGTTTAGATTTCCTGCTGGTAGCAGGGCTTCCCCCCCACCCCCATGCTTCGACTTGTTATATTTGGCTGGAAGCTGTATGGTCTCTTACGGTTACTTGTGTTGCTAGGGGTCCTGTTCCATGGCCAGTCCCACTCCTCACTGGGAAACCCGGCCTGGTGCATTCATCTCAGCGGCTGTTCGGCGCTGGCGGCTTAGAGTGTGAGATCACTGTTTCCGTTCTTCTACAGTCCTGTTTCTGCCGCTGGTCCTGTATTTCCTGTAAGACGCTTTCAATAAAAGATCCATTTCAAAAACATTTTATACTGTGTTCCTGGCCGATTTTAAGATATCTGGCTCCCACCCTCCGTCCCCCCTAGTCAGGAAGAGAGTATAATAAAATTACGTGCCCCTTTGTGGACGACTGCACGGTCCTTGGGTGGAAATGATAGAAACTTGAAAAAATAGCTTGTGCTCTTTCCAGTTGGCTTCTGAAACTCTAGAATGCCCTCGAACTTAGAACAGATATTTACTTTTAGTTCCCATGTTCTTCATTCAAACCTCTGGCATCCCTGGAGGAGGGAAAGCCATCCCCTGAAGTCCTGGTTTCCTCCCCTTTGCTGTTCTCGTGATCTGATTCTTGCATTAATTACGGGCTTGGCCTTGCAAGGGTGCGCGTGTCGGGCTTCTCTTAACATTGTTTTGACGTGCTTTCCTTCTGCTCCCTGCTCGTTTCACTCAGCTTAGGCCCTCTGTTGGGGACTTTTCTTTATCTTAAAGTGATAGAGATAGAGGCTCCTACGGTTTCTGTCCGGGAGGTGGGAGGGCCTCGGCCGTGTCCTGTGCTGCTGAGCTTCTCTTCCTTAGATTTCTTTTATTTATTTATGCACACAAGAGCTGGGGTGCAGGTCAGAGGTGCAGAGGGGTGAGAGGACTCCGCAGAGACAGAGTGGGGCGCAGAACAGGCGCATCAACCGAAACCCACTGCTGAGGGGAGCACGGGAGACAGGAGGGGCCTGCTGCGTCCTGCGTCACTCCCCGGCTGGGGATCGAACTCGCGCTGCAGGGACAGTGGACAGAGTCATAGCATTGAGACGCACTCCTGCCCCCAGGGAGCCCTGCACTACTGACATTTCTACAGTGCCCGGCACATGTGCCAGCGTTGAGTGAGTCTCGAATTTGGCAGCGTCCAGTCTGGCGGGTTTCTCTCTCTCTCGCTTTTTAAATAATGTAATAGTTGATTTTTACATCATTTTGTGCCTTTGTCCATCTCTGTTGTCATCCCCGTGGGCTTCCCATCACCACATCACCCGTGTGCCATCACCACAGTCCAGTGCATTTCCTTCCCCCCACTGTTTTTGACCCCATCCCCCACTCCACCCCTGTACAATGTCTCTGGTATACAGCTGTTCATCATTATTATTATTTCTCCCCTGACCCTTTATGCTCCTGCTATGAGTGAAACCATCGGTATTTTTCTTTTTCTTTCTGGCATATCTCACTGAGCATGACCCCTTCAAGTTCCATCCATGTTGCTGCAAATGGCATGCATTTATCTTTTTGACGGCCGAGTAATATTCCACTGCGCATATGGACCACATCTTTTTAATCCAGTCATCCACTTTGGGGCATTTGGGTTGAGTCCATGTCTTTGCTATTGTAAATAAATGCTGCTTTCTATTTTTAAAGCAAGTGCTAATTTCTGCCTGTTCCTCCTGTCACCTACAACAAGCTTTTCCACGATCCTTTTGAGCACTTGAGTGACCCAGCGTAGTTTCGCTCCGAGATCCATATTTAATTTTCTTCTCTTGTTAGATAATCGTGTGGAAGAGGTACAGTGACTTTAAGAAACTACACAAAGAATTGTGGCAGATTCACAAGAACTTGTTCCGCCACTCGGAATTGTTTCCTCCATTTGCAAAAGGAAAAGTATTTGGTAAGTGATGCCTTTGGATGTCTGATGGTGCACAGCAGTGGCTGACTAGCTGTGTTACGCGCGGAGACCCAGAGGCTGTGTCACGAAGCCAGAAGCCCCGTTACTGAAGAGGAACCAGGGCACGCACAGCCTCGGAGCTGGCTCATGTTTCGGTGAGTGTATGTGGGGCGTGCCGACTCTTCCCTTCCGCAGCATATCGGGGCGCTGGTCCCCGCCCTTCAGACAAAACACCGTATATATAGGAACCTGAGAAAAGATGAGGTATGGTAGATCTGAGCACTTTTGGTATATAAGTCTGTATGTTCTGTGTTTCTGATCGTTCTCATAGTCTGAATGTTGTGGCTTGAGGCGCCTATTTCATATCTGAACTTCGAGGGGCGCTTTTGGGATGTCATCGCCTGAGTCACCCCCTTCGGGATCCTGGTGTTGCTGGGCCAGCGGAGCCCGTGTCGGCGAGGCCTCGGTGCAGCAGGGGCGGGCGCCCAGGGGAGCACACGGCACGCCTTGTGAGTTTGGCGGCCGCGGAAGCCACGGTCCTGGGGCATGGGGTGTGATGGCCTGTGTTTTGGGGCGGTCAGCTCACGTAGCTTGTTTCCAAGAACACATGTTGCCAGACACCCAAGCCTGGGTGGCTTTTCACCCAGACCTTTTTTTTTTTTTTTAATTTTTGATGCACACAGAACCGGGGTACAGGCCAGAGGCGCAGAGGGGTGAGAATTCACCAGAGACAGAGTGGGGAGCAGAACAGGCAGATGGATGAAGTCCACTGCGGAGGGGTCTGCCGTGCCCTGTGGGTCACCTCCGTGCCGGGGATCGAACTCGTGCCGAAGTGGCTTCAGCTGTGCTTTAACCAGCTGCGCCACCAGGGAGGGCCCTCACTCACTCAGACTTTTACAAGAAACGGTCTCACGCATTGCGGGTTCACGCAGGTGACTCTGAAATGCACCCCTGAGGACTCGCGATGGGACACGCACTTCTGGATGTTTCGTCTGGATGAGTGGCAGCGGGCCACGTGACCCCAGTAGGTCGCGCCGAGGGGTGGGCAGCTGACTGGCGTGGCTCTCGGCATCGGTCCCAGTGTGCACGTGGCCAGGCCAGGCGCGTCTTGGTGGGCGTCAGGAAAGTGGTTTGGCCGGGCTGATCCCTTGACAGGCCTCGGGGCGCCCAGGCCTCCGTGGCTCATGCGTGTGGGGTGCACTCATTGACCCACGCAGACGCGTCAGGACTTCCCACAGAAGAGGTTACTCGAGGCGCCGGGGAGGGAAGCGCCGCAGCTGAACCGGTGAGGAGAATTCTGCCGCTGCTTTGGGGCACGCTGCTCTGCAGGATGTCCCTGAGACCTTTTTGGTAGCTCAGTTTCGGGGTTGCGTTTCTGCTCCTCCACGTGAGCCGTGTCCCACTCGCCCCCAGCGGCCTCTGCCATCCTCTCCCCACGCCCCGGCCGGGGGCCCCTACTTCCCCCCACGCGCTTCGCGGTGTCGGCTGTGGGTTTACTTAGACTCCACCGGCGCGGGGTCCCGGTTCGCACTGTCACGTAGCACAGTCACGGAGGGCCGCGGGCTTTGTCCCTCAGGGGCCCTTTCATCTCCCTGAACGGGGTCGATCCCAGCGTCTGGCGCCTTCCTCCCTGCTCCGTGGAAAGGCACGTGGGCCGCTCCCGCCGCCGGCAGCCTGGACCGCGCGGCCCTTGGCTTCGAGCTCGGCTCTGCGGGGAACCGCCCAGGGCGGCGTAGCGGGGCGACCCCCCCCCCCGCCTCCGCCCCGGTGGTGCCGGCTGGCGCTTCCTCCGGCCACGGGGGAGCGTCCCGGGCCGCACCTGCCCCGTGTGGTTCCCTTCCTGCGGCTGCGGGCCTTTCTCGCACGGCGCCGAGCCCTCTGGCTGTGGCGCTGGTTTGAGGGCCCCTGGGATCCACGGTGAGACCCCCACGTCTGTGGGCCGTCGCGTGTCTTTCGACGGGTCTGTAGATCTCCTCGGCGCTTTTCTCCCGGGCTGTTGGAGTGAATGGGCCTCTCTTTATCCATCTCGGGGGCTGGCCCCTTGGCCACCGTGTGCTGAAGTGATTCCCCGTGCTGCAGGCTGCCGCCTGCCTGTTCACGACACACGGAGAGCTCAGACGCCGCTGTGGTGTTGGGAGGATCGCGCGTGTGTTCAGCGGGCCGACGCACACGTCGTGCGACACGTCGGGGCCGGGACTGTCCCTTCTCTTTGAAGACTGATTTATGGATGCACACAGAACGGGGGTGCAGGCCAGAGGGGCAGGGGACGAGAGGCTTCAGCAGAGACAGAGCGGGGAGCGGAACGGGCTGACGGACAAAGGTCACTGCTGAGGGGAGCAGCCGGGAGTCAGGAGGGGTCTGCCGCGCCCTGGGGGTCCCCTCCGGGGCCGGGCGGGGCTCGAACTCGTGCTGAAGCGGCTGCTGCGGCTTGCAGTGCCCTTGCAGTGCTGCGTCCTGACCGGTCGGGCCCCCAGGGAGGGCCACTACTTTCACTCTGTGCCTACACTTTCTGGACGGTGAACTTCGCTCCTTCCCTAACGTGGACATACCCCTGCTGGCACTGAACTTGGCTTCAGGTGGACGGCAGGGCTTTCTAAATTGGTCGAGGGTCTCCCCTATTGTTGTCTGCCGCTAGTGAATGACCCTCAGCTCTTTCCGCATCCTTACGTATTACGGAGTGAAGGCTTCTTATTCATCTCAATAAGGCAGTAATTTCTCGCGTCCAATAAGCGGTCCAGCCCATTTGTAATACTTGGTGACGGCAGTGACCCGTGCAGGCGGCAGCTGTGCTCGTGAGGCGGGAACCGGCTCGTCATCCGTCTCTCCGGGTCTCTTGCACTGTGACTCCGGGGACCAGGGCCGCGCGGCAGCCGTGTCACGTCCGGCGCCGTCAGCGGGCACCGGGGCTCGCCCTCCGCCGCGGGGCTCCGCTGGCCGCCCGACTCCTCGCTGTCTCCTCTTGCAGGACGTTCTCTGGTGCCTCTAGGCTGAGTTGCTTGTTTGCCCTTCAAGCTGGACACCTCAGCTGCACCTGCTCATCTCTCTCCGGTTTTTAAGGCCGTGCAAAACCTTCAGATTTACAGGAAAATCCGCAAGCCCAGCAGAGAGGCTCTGACACGCTTTGGCACAGCTCCCCGATGGCCACTGTGTCCCCTCACTGTCTCCCGAGCCCCTGGGGAGGGGCCAGGCCTGATGCCCCCTCCGTCCTGCCTTCCCGTCAGCCGGCGCCTCCGCCTCTGGGCACTGCCACAGCTTCTCAGGCGACCGGGCCTCGCCCGCTCTGCGGGGCTGCTCCGTTCGCCTCAGACCCGGGCCGCGCCTCGGGCTGGTTTCTGCCGCCCCACGGGGTAGTTCCGAGGAGCACACGCCGGCGTGGCCGATCCCGCCGAGGCCTGCTCCTCGCGACGCGGGCCCTTCTCTGTCTGCTTTGTGTCTCCCGGGCCGCCACTTCCTGGGGGGGAGAAGCGGTTCCCGACAGCCGCCGGCGACCGGGCGGCCGCCCCCGTCCTGGTGTCCCTAGGTTGGCTGGGCCTTCGCGCTGGGCCGAGTTCCCTTGAAGCGGCCACGCTGTCCTCAGACCGGGCAGTAACGAGAGCGCTTCGTGGTCAGGTCTGACGCAGAGCAAGCCTGAGCGAGTTCAGGTCGCACAGTGAGCCGCGCGTCCCTCCTGGCGCCCCAGAGACCAGCCCCAGTGAGCCACGGCCTGGCCTCTCGGGGGCGACTCGTCAGTCAGACCCCTCGAAACGCGATTCGGAGTTGGACGGGAGTCCGGGACCTTCATCTCTCCCCACTTGGGCAGCACCCGGGCCCCCCTTCTCTGACGGCCCCCCACAGCGCCCGCACAGGCCGGCTCCCCTCGCCCCTCCTGACGCCCTCGTGGTGAACCCCGGCCTCTCAGGAGCACGGCTCTCCCACTGGCTCCCTGGGCACGGCCGGTGAATCGCACCCGAGGGCCTGCCACCGCCTCGTCCCATGAGCAAATCTTTGTGCAGTAAAGAGCCCCTCCGCCCTTCTGCCGCGTTTCCCACCGGTCACGGAGCCTTTCACGCCGCCAGTGTGTGATCACCGACGCCTGCCTTTTGCAGCCGTCGTCAACATGGCCGTCTCGGGCTGGGCTCGGCAGGGGGACGCGCCCTTTCCAGCTAGTGACAGTGCTGAGTGTCGGCGGCCTCCTTCTCCTCATACACCTCTCCTGTTAAAATGTTAGAACAATGTTTGACACCGTCTCCCTTCCACACCCTCCCCCCAAACGTTTGACTGTGGGAGTTGGGGCCTGGGTGGCCGATACGTCACGCGTACACACAGCCGCCACCAGGCGTCGCCTGTCCCCACGGTGGCCCCGTTTCCAAATGTCTTCTCAGCCCTCAGCTTGGCTAGCATCTACAAATCGGTGACACCACCTTCGCGATCACCTTGTAAGCAGGCTTCCGGCGCTCGGGGGGCTTTCTCTCCCTGCAGGCTCTCACGGGCCGTCAGCATCGCGCCGGAGTGCGGCTTCAGGCTTCTCGGCCAGCTGAGCTTTTGGGCCCTCGTCGCCGTGCAGGTGTTCTCGTGATTGTCTTCTCTCAGCTCCTTTATACATCAGAAAGTGAAAAGGGAAAACTGGGCGAGTCATCCCAGTATTAAATGCCTGTGGAAAACCACTCGCGCCTTGTGTAAATTCCCTTTTCAGCGCTGCTTTCAAATCACCAGGTTCTTCAGTGAGGAGTTTCTTGCGTTGACAGGCCTGAGACACCCTGGGCACCACTTCTTTTTTGCGTTTTAGCGGACGCATTCCTCCCTGGCGCTGGTGTCCATGTGCGGGGCGGACCAGCCTTCTGAAGACCACCAGCGCCGGCCGGCCGCGGCTTCGCAGCCAGAACACAAACCCTGGGGTGGCCGAGCCTGCCCCTAAGTGTTGTTTCTTAATTCCAGGGCGATTCGATGACGGCGTCATTGAAGAGAGAAGACAGTGCGCCGAAGACCTGCTGCAGTTCTCCGCCAACATTCCTGCTCTGTACAGCAGCAGACAGCTCGAGGCGTTTTTCAAGGTTTGCGCTCTTGAAAGATGGGTGCAAATAGCAGATGATCTGGCTCCCTCTGTCGTAGCTGGAGTCCATTAAACACTGCAGTAGCAGGAAGCTCCGGTCACTACCTTCCCTTTGGGGAAGGTCCGTGGGAGGCAGACTCTTGAGAGCTAAGCCGCCAGAAGTCCGTAGTAAACGTGCTGTAATTATATTAATTTCTGTAAAGACGGAACAGAAATAGTCACTGGGTTGTAGAGACAGACGCTGGTACAAACTTAGGACCCAGCTCACGGGGAAGCAGTGTCGGAAGTCGCTCGTCACGTCAGCCTTTGTCCCGTTTCCCTGTCCTCTTCAACACTAATTAATTTACTTTGAACTGAACCCTGCCGGGCATGTGTTGCCTGGTACCGGTTTCTGACTCCCACAGTGTTCTTGTGAAATTAATCTCCTAGAAATAAGTGAGGTGATCGTGCCTCCCTTTATTACCTCTTTAATCAAAAGTCAACATAGTTGTGGACAGGAAAGCGCCCACCCTGTGTGACAGTGAGGGAAGGCGAGGCGTTTGGTTAGCCCAGGGCCAGCGAGTCTTCCCAGGGGCGCGTGTTAGCGGCCTGCTGTCGTTTGCGGGAGCGCTCTCGTTTGAGAGACGTTACAGACCTGCGGCTTAGCGGAACGGAAGAGTGGGCGGTGACAGCCCTGACTTCTCCTGGGCAGCTTTTCATTTTCCCGTCAGCCAGGCCGGGGTCCTGGATCCGGCCTCCGCTGTCGCCTGGCACAGACCTGTGGGAGAGAGGCGGCCCTCATGCCCTCACCGTGCCCGGAGTTGGCTTCTTGGCTGTGAGCACCGCTGTTGGGTGCTCGTTCACACGCCCGAAATGAGAGGCGGCAGGAGAGGAGGCGGAGGCGGGGCAGCGCAGGAGTCCGGCTAGTCGAGGGCGACTGTGCCGGGCTGATGAGCACAGATGCCCAGGTTTCAGCTGAGCGTGGACTGGAGTAAGCAAAGGGCCTGCGCCTTAGCTGGTTTTTTCCTCCTCTGGAGAAAAACTCAGCTAGGAGCAGCGATTAGTGTTTTCGTGGGCTAGATGTAAATTCTTGCTTTCCAGTCCAAGTGCGCTTCAGGCAAGTAAGATGCGGTCACCTCAGAGTCGCCTTCTCCCGACTCTTACCGAGAGGGGCCCCGGGAGCCTGCCGGGGAGGCGGGTGGCTGAGCCCGTGTGCTGGCGCGGGCAGGGTAAGGGGCTTCCGTTTCCCCGGGCTTTGCCGCCTGCCGGTGGGTTGGCAGGCAGGTGGTGGAAGGCGGGAGGGAAGATGGTGAGCGCAGAAGGCCCGTGCCAGTGGGTTGCAGCTGTTTCAGCGCGAAGCCCTCAGGCTTTCAGCCGTGAGGAGCCAGCCCCCCAGCCGGGGGATCCTGGCCTCTGGGTGACTAGCTTTCTGGAATTCAGATGCTGGCCGCTGGGAGCAGTCAACTTTGTTGCAATCTGTCTCTTCAGTAGGACACCTTACACTGAGAGTGTGTCGCCTCCATTGTGCCTCCATTGTAGCGCTTGTCTAAGGCTGTCCCAGATGCTGGGTGACAGTGTTGCAGTTTGATACTTGATACAGTTGCCTGTTTCCGGCTGGGCGGTCCCTAACTGAGGATGCTCTCTGAGCAGTGCTCTCTCACTAGTGAGCTTGCCCAGCTGCATTTTAATGAAGTGACTCTTTTGGCTAGATTTAAAACGAGAAAAACCCACGCGTTCTGGACATATAAAGACCGTTAGGAAGTTGAGGTCTACAGACTACCAGTTCAGCAGGCATGGCGTCCCCCGCTCCCCCCCACTCCGGCGGGGTCCTGTGATTCAGGCCTGCTGCGGGGTGCGGCTCTAGGTTTCCGAACCGCAGTGACGATCTGGCTCAGTAGGTGAATAGTGTACGCGGCCCGTAACTCAGTTGAGTTCACCTGTTCATTTGTTACTGAAAACTTTTTTGAAGATTTATTTATTTATGCATACAGAAAGATTGATTTATGGATGCACACAGAGCTGGGGTACAGGCCAGAGGCGCAGGGGTGATGAGAGGACTCCCCAGAGACAGAGCGGGGAGCAGAACAGGAAGCTGGACAGAGCCCCCTGCTGAGGGGAGCAGCGGGAGACAGGAGGGGGCTGCGCGCCCCGGGGGTCAGCGCTGGGGCCGGGGGTGGAACTCGCACTGAAGCGGCTGTGGCCAGCCTGCAGGGCTGCGCCCTAGGCCCGCTGTGCCCCAGGGAGGGCCCTGTCCCCCCTGTGCCAGTGACACAGCTGTGTGCTTCCGCAGGGCGGCGTGGTCCAGGACGGCTCTGAGCTGATTGGGCCGGCCCAGGCGCGCTCGGGCCCCCTCCCCGACAGCCTTGCCGAGCGTGGCACAGAAGGTAAGCAGTTTACTTGTTTCATGTAGTGGCGTTGCTTACAGAAGATGAAATCATGTCTGTGTTGCACCAAAGAGAGGAATTTGATGATATGCCAAGGGCTTTTTCCTTCATTTCTTTTTTTTTAAATTTATTATTCAAGAACTACAGGCTAGAGGTGTGTGTGTGTGTGGGGGGGTTGGGGGTGAGAGGACTTCCCAGAGACAGAGTGGGGAGCAGAGCATGCAGATGGACTGAAACCCACTGCTGAGGAGACAGGAGGGGTCTGCTGCTCCCCGGGGGTCCCTCCCTGGCCGGGGATCGAACTCGTGCTGCGGTGGCTGCGGCCGGCTTCATAGTGCTGCGCTTTGACCCGTTGCGCCACCTGGGAGGGCCCATTCTTGTGTGTCCATGAAGACTTCAAAAACTTAAGTTTTTACGCTTAGTAGTTTTCTCCCAGAGAAAAGCTTAGAAAACAGAAAAAGACAGAAGCACCCCAGAACGGTCAAGCAGAGCTGGGGGCGGGGCTGGGGGTCTTCAGCAGTGGAGGTGTCGGCGGGCCTCAGGCTTCACGTAGGGTGAGCACAGCCAGACGGCCTCGGCCTGCCCTGCGGGCCCAGGGCGCAGGGGCGTGTGGCGGTGGCGCTGTCCCGGCGGCGCCGGCCCGCACCCCACATGCCGGCACCGTCTCTCGCAGGATGCTCGGACCGGGGCCGGAGCCAGAGTCGCCCCGTCGTGCGGACCGGGGGCGGGCAGTGCGTGTGCTCCTCGGTGCCAGGCGTGGCCCGGAGACGCTCCACTGGCTTCCAGGTTGTCTTTGTGGCCCCGCGGCTCGGAGCACCCCAGGGCCCTGTCCAGCTCAGCCGGGTCCTCGAAGAACACTGCTGACAGGAATTTAAATTTCACCTTTTTTTTTTGTGGGGAGAGGGCTTGTACTCTGCCGCCTGTTTGATCCCGAGAGCTTCGCTCGGCTTTGGAAAATTCACTGCCCGCTCGGGAATTCCGGGCACGAGTCTCTTCCCAGAAGTCCTTCCTTGCAAGGTCACTCTTCTGGGACAGACCTGACAGACCTGCCGCCCAGAGATTCCTACTTGGAGCAAGAAGGGTGCAGGGCCTTGTCCTCGCTCCGGGCCTGGCCGTCGGAGCCATGAGGGCTCGTCAGGGTAGCCGGCCGCGGGGTCTCCGGTAAAGGAGAGCGAGCTAGAGCCGGGGACCCCCCGTCCGGCGGGGCCGGCGAGACCTGGAGCGGGCTGCTGGCGAGCCCTGGCGCCGGGCCAGGCGGGCGACCTTGCCTGGAGCGCTTGTCTCAGGGTCGCCTGTGAGATGTCAGAGGGCGGCTGCTCGCAGGGCTTTCTCGGGGTGCGCTTCAGGAGCCCAGCAGGGGCACGGTGCTTGCTGAAAGCCCAGGAGCGCCCCCGGCGTCCTAAAGGCGAGACTGACCTCTCTCCTCCCCGCGCAGCTTCCGCGTGACCCGCCTGCTGTCTCGGGAACACCCCGCACCCCGGGAGGACGAAGGCGTGGTGCGGCCGTGTCCCTGCCTCCCTCTGACAGCCTGCGTGCTGGGCCGCTCCGTCCTGCTGAAGGACACCTGGCGCCAAGCCCAGATCTGCGCGTCGGGCAGCTCGCACGTTCATCGCTCCCGGAGACGGGAGGCGACCTCAGCGTCGTGCCATGGCCAGCGTGCCGGCCCGGGCAGGGCTTCCTTTCACCCAGAGGGTCCCAAGCCCCAGCCACCCAGGGAGAGGCCTCTTGTGGCGCAGGGCGGGGGCAGGCCGGGGAGCCGGTGGCGGGGCCCGCCTGGGGTTTCGGGCCCAGCGTGGGGAGGTGACGCTCCGGCTGGCGCAGCGCTTCAGAGCTCCTTAAATGGTGCTTTCAAGGGGGACCCATTTTTCAGACCTGGGCTCGTGTGGTGCTTGGCGTGGAAGGAGCCGGAGGGGAGGATCTAAATGTCGCCTGCGGCCTCAAGGTCCTTCCTGCAGTTGAATGACACGGCAGGTGTATCGCTGCTCGGGAACAGATGCAGAGGCCAAGTGATCATTAGTTTTGTGAGCACCATAAAAACGCAATCAGAGGCCTTAATTTACCTTGAAATGAAAGTTTTTGTGAGGAAAACGGCAAGAGTCGAATCTGGGGTCTTTTTTTCTTTGTTTAGAGCAAGGAGGAGAGGCTGCAGGCAGGACCCCAGCTGGGAGAGCCAGCCCCCCGGCCCCAGGATGGAGGGGGGGTGGCTCTCGGATCCCTCACAGCGCTCCAGATGGACCGGGCTGTTAAAAAAACGCAGAATTCTTACCTATTGGTGGAATAATTTCAATCAGTAATAAAAATTTGCAATAGTAAAAAAAAAAAATGCAGAATTTTGTCGTCTGATGGGAGCCAGGAAGCCCGTTGAGGGGCCCTGAAGTCAGTCGCTTGGCGGTACACTGGTATGCGAGTAGCTGATATTTAATCGAAAATCAGAAAGCGATAGGTGAAGTTCAAGTTGTTGGGTGCTTTAAAACGCGGTGATGGCTCTGTCCTCGGGGAAGTGGGAGCCAGTGAGACCGCCTTTGGAAAGGAGCCGGTCATCGACGACACATTGCCACTTCAAACTCCCGCTTCGCTGCCGGGTGACACGACCCTGTCGAGTCGCGTGACAGCGGTGGAAACGTGGCCGGGGCGTGTGGCGAGGGGGCTTCTCCCAGGGTCTCTCATCTCGGCCTGCTGGAAGGATGTAGGTCGCTGTACCCACGCCGGCCTTGACGCCGGAGCCTTTGATGTTCCGGCGTCACCTGGTGACCTGCCTCATTTCCTCTGCTGACGCTCGGCTGCGTTGCAGCTCTCGGGGCGACGTTTCCCAGGTGTGTGCAGCCAGACAGGCACTCGCTGGGGGCTCATACACACGGGGATGCAGGGCCCAGCCTCGCCGAGGCAGCAGGTGCTGGCTGGCATGGCCCCTGGTGTCGCGCCGTCGGTTTCAGTCACTTACTTCGCTTATGTTCTGCGGGTGTGGAGCGCCCTCGCTCCAGGCCCAACCCCCCCCCCCACCACCACCATTTTCTTCGTCTCCTTTTCAGTCAGCGGACCACAGGAAAGGAATATTCTTCCGTGCTCAGGGACCTGAGTCTGCCTCAGCCCCCAGTTAGCCTGCGTGTCAACGGTGCAGTGTCGAGTGGAAAAAAATACAAGGAAGTCTGGTCAAAATGAACTTGCAGTAGAAGTCCGTGAAAATGCCCACTAGGTGTCAGCTGAGCGCTCCAAATCGCCGTCCCGGGGTGACTGGCGCCCCCTGCCTTCCGTGGGGGCTTGCTCATTCGCTGGGAAGCTCCTTTTGCCTTTGTTACTCACCTGCTTAACTTTTCCTCCCTGCCCTCATCCGCGGGCTTCCTCAGGCCGGGCGCGTCAGGTAACAGTGGGCGAGCACAGGTCACCGAGTCCCTTGGTGCTGGGTTGGCGGCTGTCCTCAGGGCGCCGGTGCTCGCTGGGGGAAGTGTGCCTGCGCCCCAGACGCCCGGCAGGTTTGCCGCGCGGAGCCGGGGACAGTCGCAGTGCGTGAGGCGCGTCAGGACGGGGCGTTGCTCCGCGTCGCTTTCTTTCTTTTTTTTTTGAAGCTTTACTTTTTGCTTATTTGTGCATGCAAGAACTAGAGGTGTGTGCGTGTGTGTGTTTGAGGGGGTGGGGGGAGGACTCCCCAGAGACAGAGTGGGGAGCAGAGCAGGCCGAGGGACGAAGCCCACTGCTGAGGGGGGAGACAGGAGGAGTCAGGAGAGTCTGCTGCGTGCTGAGGGTCACGCCCTGGCCAGGCTCCCACTCAGGCCCGACCAGTGACCTGCTGAGCCCAGCCCCTAGGCCCCCAGGGAGCCTCCTCTGTGCTCGTTATCACACGCGGCCTTGGGGCGGCATTTGGTGGTTTCTGAGCTTGTTCTGGGGTCCCCAAATGCACAGTGGACACTCGGACATCCCTTTCATCATTTCCCACGGGTTGAGGGACACATGTTGCAAGGACCTTTCAGAAACGGGGGGCTTAGCAGGAGTGGGCCTCTTTAGTAACGGCTGACACGGGGGCGGAATCGGGCCCAGGGCAGGCGGCCGGCCGGCGTCAGGTCTTCGGCGGAGACGTTGCTCCAGTCACAACTGTGCAGCCTCTTGCTGGAGGTCGCGGTCCCTGTGTCTGCTCCCTTGGGGTGACGGTTGCCCTGCTGGCTGGACACCCCACCGGAGATGTGAAGTGTGGGTCATCGCTAGGAAGAAACGTGGGTTTCCTGGTGGCATCCCAGCCCCGTGGCCCCCTGAAAGCGGTCACATGCGAACAGTGAGACCTTGACTCAAGTCCACCTTGAGGGACCCTTCTGCCTTTAACGTCTGCTTACTGTTGTCCTACCGCCAGGGTTTTCCAGCGACAGCGACCTGCTCTCCCTCACCCTTGACGCGGACTCTCTCGCCGAGGCAGACGATGGAATGGCTTCCGCTCAGAGCTCCCCGGCCAGGGCCCGCGGCCTCCATCTCCCTCCGGACGCGTCAGCGCCGGGGCCCGCTGCGCGTGCCGGCGACCGGAGCGGCTCGGAGGAGGGGCTGGAGAGCCGCAGCCGCTTCCGCGGCAGCCTCAAGGCCAGGCTGGGCAAGCGGGACTACCTGGAGAAGGCGGGGGAGTGGATCAAGCTGGCCTTGCAGAAGGAGGAGGCCGAGGACTACGGGGCGGCGTCTGCTTTCTACAGGAGAGGGGTCGACCTGCTCCTCGAGGGCGTTCAAGGTACAGCCGGCGCCTGTGGGGGGTGCCGCGCCCCGAGGCCCGCGAGCGGCCGGCACGCCTCGTCTCCGGCGTGGCCTGCCGTGCTCCTGCGGCCGGTGCTCCCGGCCTCCACCCCGCCCTGGAGTGTCCCAGAGCAGTGCCGGGCGTGCGCTCGCCGCTCAGGACGCCTGGGCCCCCACCCCGGGCCCGGGCTTGCCGCTCTGCCGGGGATGCGGGCCTGCTGGGGCTGACCGTCCAGGCAGAGCTGGCCTCCCGGAAGCTCGGTTTGGCCTTCGGCGGCGCCTTTCGCTTAGACAAGCAGAGTGACGCCGCGGCTCGTGCCGCCCGGCACTGCGACCCCAGGCCGGTCGGGCTCGCCCAGCTTCTTCCTTCCAGGAAGACCAGCGCCGCTGTTGCCCGGGGGCTTGGCGCGAGTGTCCCTGTGGGCAGCGCCCGGAGCGGCCACCCGCACCCCATGGTGTGGAGGGTGGAGGTAACGGCTGCGGAGCGAGGCCGTGTGGCAGCTAACTGGGCTCCGTGGGGCGGGGATTTGCGCCCCCAGGGCCACCCGCCAGGCTTCGGGGAGAAGGCCGAACCCCGGGAGCGGGGAGGGGGCCTCTGCCCCGCCCGCTCCCGGCCCAGCCTCTCCGTCCTTGCGGGATCTCACCACGCGCTCGTGGCGGCCAGTGGCGTTTCCGGAGGGACCGCCGGCCAGTGCGTGCCGGGTCCACTCCCGGGCATCGCATTTGCACCGGGGCTACCTGGTGGGGGGCCGGGAGTCGGAGGCTTCAGTGCTTGGAGCAGCAGGGAGCTGGGATCTGCCGCTTCATGTTTCTCGCCGTCTTCCCGGAGGTGGTGACCGGTCGCGTCGGAAGCTGTTACCGTGGCTTCAGGTCATTGATTCGAGCGTCCAGGCGCCGTTCGATTTTGCCATCTGGTTGCGGTTTTATGATTTTGGCCGTGACAAGGTTTATTAACCGCGGGAAATGCGTGCTGAGGTCTCGGGTAACAACTACTTTCCAAGTTTCATATTCCGTTGGGGTTTTTTGTTTTCTAGTGTGGAGGGTTCTGGCCCTAGAGACTAATGATTTTCCTCCTTTGTCTGAGTTCTTCGTCCAGGTTGGAAGTTTACACGGGGAAGAGGCGTTACAGACAATGGCTCCGAGGGGTTCCCTCTTTCCTTTTGAGGTAATTTTGTGTCACAACCTCACAATGTCGAGTGGACACGTAGAAAACACATCAGCGTCATATTTTTCTAAAAGTTATTCGATTCTCATTTGATAACAGTTCTTAATGTTACCACTTGATGGCACCAGAAAAATAAAAACATTGCTTCAAAATAAGAATGACGGAGACTTAACCAGCAAATAGCAAAACTCCTGTCGTTGCCGTGCTGTGTGATTACGATGGTGAGTTACTTTTGCCTTGAAACTTGATGCAAACCTCCCGGGCCTCGGTCGTCAGCAGTGTGCCCACCTTTCCTCTCACCTCCGCCTGGGTGTCTGGAACCGGGAAAGTACCCCCCTGCCCTGGTTCATTATCATCGGCAATGTGTCATCAGTTCCAAAAAGTCATGAGTAGTTTTTATCAGGATGTGATCAATGTTTATTCATATAAATTAAGGGAACTGCTATCACAGAATTCTGGTTTTCAGCCAGGGCATCACATAACCTCCCTCGCCGCCCTCCTGGTTGACACATTCAACGGTGTCTGAGGTGGGGTGGCCGGACTGGCACCTCTGGTCCATGGTGCTATGCGTGGTGCTGCCTGGAGGACTCGGCAAACTCTTTCCAAGATTTCCCCCCACTTTATTGAGGTATCACAGGTGTACGACGCCATATTAATGTCAGATAAACAACATGATAGCCGGGAGGTGGTGGTCGTGTTCCATTTTTTTCACCCACCCATCTGTGGGAGGCCTGGTGGTTTCCACGTTTTGGCTGTTGCAAATAATAGTGCAGTGAAGGTGAGGGTGCAGAGACATCTCCTCGGGCGGCTTCTTTCTCTTGACTAGATTCTCAGAGGTAGAATTGCTGGATGCCAGCTTCATTTTTAACTTTCCAAGCACTGTCCGTGCGTTTTCCACAGTGGTTGCACCATTCACACTCCCGCCAGCAGCCAGCGGCGTCCCGTTCTGCACGCTCCCGTCACTGTGTGCTCCTTACCTTTCGGCCGTCTGTGGGGTGCCTCCATTTTGGGTACTGTCTCCTTTGCTGTAGAGAAGCTCTTTAGTTTGATGTAGTCCCATCAAACTAAAATCTTTGAAAATCCCATCAGATCTTTCCCCTCATGCTCTGTGCCTCTGGGGTGAGTCCTCAAACCTGTCTGCGGTGTATGTCATGCAGTATCTGGCTTTCAGCCAGTACTTTACCATTCCAGTGCATGTTGCTTTGCAATATAGTTTAAAGTCAGGAAGTCCGACGCCTGCAACTTTGTTCTTGCCCAGAGCCGTTGGCTGTTTGAGGTCTCTTGTAGCTGCATACACATTTCAGTGTTGCTTTTTCCTGCTTCTGTGAAAAATGCTATTGGAATTTTGGTAGCGACTGCTTGGATGTGTAGGTTGATCTGGGTCGATGGACGTGCTAACAGTGTTAGTTCTTCCATGAACACAGAGTGTTTTACCCTTGCACGCAGTCTCTTAAGTCAGGGCCTTATAATTTTCAATATAACTTACTTGCCTTTTGATTCACTCTGAAGTGCTTTATTCTTGTTGATGGCCTGAAGATGGGGTTGTTGGCTTAATTTCACTTCTGAGACCTTGGTAATGTCATGCAGACAGCTGATTTTTTGGTACGGGCTCTGATTGTACGCCTTTATTTAAATTTTCACCTTTTTTTGGTGGCATCTCCAGAGTCTTCCATCTATAATAGGTCGCCCGCAGATGGGGACTGTCTTACTTTTACTCCTTCTGTGATCGCTCTGGCTGACTCTAGCGCTGCACAGAATGAGGTGGGGGTGAGGGTGGCCTCGCCGTGCTTGCTGTTCTCACAGCTTTCCACTGTGGACTCTGATGCTCGGCGCGGTGGGCCGTGTTCTGTCATGGGCATGGAAATCGGGGCCCCGGTACGGGAACTTGACGCGACGCAGGAGAGCTGCTTCCCCGGGAAAGTGCCCTGAAGCGCCCCCGTGGCGGTGACGACCGAGTGCGAAGACTTCGCCTTCGCGGCGACAGTCCATCCCTGTGCCCTTGGGTTTACCCTTCCGGCAAAGCCCTTGAGAGCGTTCACCCTGCCAGGCTTTACCTGGGCAGTGCGCGGGCCTGGTGAAGGCGGTCGGTGCTTTTACGCTTCCTGGTGTTGACAGGGAGACGAGGTGGCAAGCGGGAGCATGCGGCCCGGCCTCCTGCTGCTGCTGACTTTGACGCCTCCTTTGCAGCCTGCAAAGTGAAGGTGCCGTGGTGGCTGCCTGAGGTCTTCGGGCCGTGGGAGAAAATGCAGCAGTCGGGTGTGAAGCGCCCTCTGCGCTCGGGAAGGAGCGTCTCAGCCCGCGTCCTCTCGGTCCTGGCCTGCTTGTGTCCGCTGCGACGCGCACAAGGTGTGCTCCGCCTGGGCTTGCGCAGTTGCCGCCTGACGGGCGGCGGGACACGCCTGAGCTCCGCGCATTGATGACGTGTTTGAGCGGCAGCCCCTCACTGTCCCTCACAGACTTGTCCCGGGTGCGGGGCTCTACGTTTTTAACCCTCAGAACGGGCCTCCGAGCTGCGCTGCGGACGGCCATGTTGGGCTGCGTCTCAGGACACCCCAGTTTAGAGGGGCAAACCTGTAATGTCACCACCCCCAAAGCTTGGCGCCCAGTTAGCGAGAATAATTGCTCAAGGCAGGAAGGCGCCAGGTGGCGGCGCTGCTGGTGGCACTACCCGCGGCAGCCGAGGGCATCCGAGTGGGCTCGCGAGCGGCTTCTGTGTAGCTGTTCCAGCTGTCACACTGCTGGTGCCTGAGAGGTGGCTGCAGCGACCCCCGCGTCACAGGTGGGCAGACCGGGTCGCAGACCGCGTTGCCCCCGGGTGCCAGCTAGGTCTCTCTCAGCTCAGATTCTGTCTTCCTTCTGCTGCGCGAGCGACGCCTCGCCCAGCGTCGTCCTCGTCCCGTTCGCTTTTCAAGGCGAAGCGGCAACAGGTTTCTAGTGTCGGCTCATCGACGGCTTTGTTCTCAGCACTTTTCCTCCCCCCGCCTCTGATTCCTGCCCTTCCCCCCCGGCTGTCTCGTGACCTGTTCGACACGCCGCTGTTACTCACCTGGTGCACGAGCGATACAGCAGTAGTGGTGTAAAATACAGTCCTGGTCAAAATACAGCCGGCAGTGGCCCAGACGCCGTCTCCGGGGTCTCCCTCTGCCCCCCTCTGCCTGATGCGTCCGTCTCCCGCAGCCATGGCGTCTCATCGTGCAGCGTTCCTGATGGTGTCCGTGTCTGGTGGTTCTTTCCCAATCTTGCTGCAATTTTGGGTGAGGGAGCCTGTTTCAGGAAATGTTTCTTCTCAGCTGAGGGATGCAGACAGTCTGCGATTTTCGTCTCAGCGAACGGCACACCAAGCTGTTTTTTATAGTTTACCCCATCCCCAGGTAGCTGTGTGCTAGACGCTCGTGTTTCCAGATAGATTTAAAAGTTTTCACCATCAGACCCGTTGGGCGGAGCATTCCTGAGCTCCTGCTGGCTCTCGGGTGCTGTCCTCCCCCACACCCCCCACCGCAGGACGGGGTCTCGGAGAAGCTGCAGACCCTTCCTCTGAGCCACTTGGGTGAGGAGGGCGGCACCCGCGCTCTGGGCACTCAGTGACGCAGGGCAGTGAATAACCATAGGAGCAGGTGATGGGTTTAAGGCTCTTAGGGAAAAGGGGCCAGGACCATGGACAGCTGCTGCAAACGGGGAACCCAGTGTCTGCGCTGGACTGGGCTGGCGGAAGTCCAGACGCATTTTTTGCTAGGAAAACAGACCAGATACACCCCGACTCCTCTGGCAGCCTGCATGGGCGCCCCCTGGAAAGGAGGGGCAGGTGAGCACGCAGTAAATCCGTGCTGATAGAGGCGCAGAGTGGGGAGCAGAACAGGCGGATCCACTGAGCCCCCCTGCTGAGGGGAGCCTTGGGGAGACGGGGGTCTGCGTGCCCTGGGGCCCCTCCCTGGCCGGGGTCGCACCCAGGCCGCAGGGGGGAGAGCCCGAGACTCGCCCCAGGAGCCCTGGGGGGACCCTCGTTGTTTGATCACGGGCGCGTTAGCCCGTCCCAGACTCTGTTTGCCGACGCGGTGGTCGAGACGCCCACGTGGCTCCCCTCGCCTGTCACTCAGCCTTCTTAGCTGGCCCACCCTCACCCTCTGGGGTGTTGGATTGTAATTGTGCCTTTGGCTGTTTCTTGTAATACTTTGCCATCAAATTTGGGGAGTTTTCACCTCCTTGTTCCTCACACTGCCCCCGCTCCCCATGTTCTGAGGGGGCTGTGGCAGTGTGTGGCGCCTCCGGCAGGCGCTGGCGGCCCCTTTCCCACTCACGCAGCCCGGCCACGCCGGCCTCACTTCGCCGGTCTTTCGGCGTTTTTTCCGAGTCCATCTTCGCTCTAGAAATTTCTGTTGGGGCCTTCTCTTCGTGCATGGCCTTGTTTTATTGTCAGCCTGTGTTTGATTGTGCATCGTCTTTGTACTTTCACTCCTTAAACATGTTCCTCCCAGTCCCCTGAGCACGTCTGCCGTGGTTCTCTTGCAGGGTCTCTCTGCAGACCCCGGAGCGCTCTCCAGAGACAGGTGCTGTCGACGGCTTCGTTTCCCAGACCACTCGTTTACCGGGTCTTTGCATGTTTCATTTTCGAAAACTACTTTCCAGGTGAATAGCGAGTCTGGCTCCTGCCCCGGGGCTCCTGCCCCGGTGGCTTTCGTCTGCGGTCGGTCGGTAGCTCAGAGAGGGGCCCCGGGTTTGGCTTGTGCGTGCCCCAGGCCTCCCGTCCCCCGGGGAGGAGGGCCGGCCGCGGCCCTGTGGTGTCGCCTGTGCGTGGGCGCGGCTCTCCGGAGCCCCGGAGCGTTGGGGGGCTTCCCGGAGCACACCGGCTGTCTCGGCCTCGGCTTGCCTTTTGGGGCTGCTGTGACTCCCGGGCGTGAGCGGCCAACGAGGACGGGGGCCGAGGCCTTTCCCGGAGGCTTCTGGGGAGGCTCCCAAGAGCGTCGTGCGCGGTCGGGTCTCCGAGGCCGCCCTGAGCGCGTCACTCAGCTCTCTGCGAGCAGCCGGAGTTTGGGTGACGGCCCCGGCCCCAGGCTGCCATCTGCATGGGGTGTGTGGTGTGCGGGGGGCTCGGTGCCGGCACCCGGGGCCCTTCGGACCGAGGGGGACCGCCGGCGCCCGGCTGTCCCGGTGGTGTGTTTCCACTCGGGCGGCCTGGCCCAGGCTCCGCTGCGCTTCCCTCAGCCCCGCCCAGACTCCCGGAGAAGGTGCTTGGCCTCAGGCCGGCAGCGGGAAACCCGTGTTTGTCGCTGTGTGGCGCTCCTCCCTGCTCTCGGGGGCCACGGGGGGCCGCCCGAGGCTCGCCCCGGAGCGGGGCTCCCGGCTGTGCCGGCGGGAGCGCGCACGAGGGCCCAGCACCGTCCCTGCAGGAGACGGCTCGGCGTCTCCCGGAAGGCCTCGGGCCCGCGGTTCCCGGCGTGCTCGGCCGGGGAAACAGACAGGAGAGATTGGTTTGTAGGAGCAGTTCGTCCCCGGTTTCCCGGTACGCCAGGCCCCCACCCCGATGCGCCCCGACTGCCTGGAGAAAGAGCGGGGCTCTCCCAGACACGCAGGCGCGGGCTGCCCGCTCTAGCCGTGGCCGGCGGCAACACGCAACTTAGGGGGTCTTCGGGAACGCCTGCGCACGGTGGTTTGCGGTATTGACTGCGCGTTCGCTCCTGTGTGGCTAGAACTCAAGCCGGTAACGGAACAGGAGTCTGGCTTGGAGCGCGTTGGGCTCTTCGTTTGCGGGTGGCGTGCGCCCGGGCGGGGGAGGAATGTTCCAGAAGGACTGGATGCGGTGCATTGGCCGAGACGGTCAGCCTGGGACATCTGCACTCCCCAGGCCCCGAGGCCACCGCCAGGCAGAAGGCGCCTCTCCGCTGCAGGGTGGCCGCTGAGGACGGGGTCCTGGCAGGGCCCGGCTGGCACGGTCTCTCGACCGCTCGGTGTTTCCCTCGCAGGTTGCGGGCATGAGCCTGTGTACTGGGCGTGCCGGCGGCCAGAGACCGCTGTCCTGCCCGTGTCGCCCGGTCCAGCGCCGCTGCGGGGCGAAGTGGTGGTGCAGCTTGAGGTTCAGATTGTATGAACAGTAAACAGAGCGTCTAAAATCACCACTTGCGCGTTGCAACAAACACATCATCATTTGCTTAAAAAAGAGTTATAATTACAGTTGACGAAGCATGGACACCATAAAAAATGCATTAGTTTGGCTTGACACATTAATTACCTGTTTTTGCAGATGTTTTTATGTATTGTTGTGTGA